TCTGGTAGTGCTTCATACCGGCAGCCATGGACCGGCTGAACACTTGCGTAGCAAACTTCACTCGCATTTTGTCCATGTTGGATGGATAAATATGGCGCTGAGTTATCTTAGGGCACGCCTTGGAGCTCTCCTGGGAGTGCCTCGTCTTCCTTAAACACGGAAATGTAGTGTGACTCTTTTGACCCATTTTCCGCTTGTCTTCAGGTATCTTTGTTTGAGCAGCCGGTTTCGAACACATTTAAATAGGTGAGGAACGTCTGAAAACATGTATACCTTTCGCTCAGCATCAACTGGGTGCTCAAAAAAGTGCTTGGCTTCCTGAATTTCACCAGCGATGCCCCGGTGTTTCCACATGGTGCGATTTGTGCTTGCACCGTCGCACACGACACCGTCGATCATAGCTCCAGAGTCTTCAAGCAGCACAATAGCTTGCAGAAGAAGCTGACATAGCACTGTGCCTTGCGTGGCGTTTTTTGAAGCAAACACAGCCACAGGCTGGGCTGAACGTTCAGCAAATGAACAAAACATAAACAAGAGCGCATGATCTGCCAATTCTGAACTTTGCCTCTTATTTATGCCTCGCTCAACTAGTCCGTCATGGCTCAAAGTCCTAGAATTGAGCCATTTACACTGCCTCACTTGCATTTCGTCCACCATCAGCATGCCGTGCTTGGAGAACATCGACTTTCCGTTTAATTTTTTCTTCAAGGCAGAAAAAAGGTTCCGGTCGAAGCCGCACTTCATTGCGACAGTGACTATATATCGCCGGATGGTCTTCACTAATGGCAGAGGAAGGACGTCACTGTCTCTTAGGAACCTGTATCCTGTGGGCGTGCGAATATGTAGCAGCAAACACAGCAGCAGCCAGTTATCCTTGTACTTTCTTCCTTTCTTGGATTTATGCCGTGCAGCTGATATGCATTCGGTCACAAGCATTTGCTGCGCCTCTGAAAGGTTCGCTTCCTTGAGTGTTTTATGAAGGGATGCCTCACTTAGGTCTTTCAGTTTGCCTTGACAGGACAATAACTCTTCAGTCAGCTTTTTTATCTTTGAGTAGCCGCATCTTAAAACGGTAGCAGGCGATCCGTTGCTTTCTTAATACATCTACTTTCTGCTTGTTAGGTGGGCTCAGGATGATTTTGACTCGTCGGTGCTCTCGACGCTTGTTCATTCTTGACTTGTGAATTCGGAGGGTGTCTTTTAATCTCGCATAAAAACAACATGGCAGTTCTCCGACCTGGAGGATGGGGCATCGGTTGTGCCGCCAAGCACCAGCTGGATCCACGTAGCCACACTCAAGCTCCACGTTCGCATATTTCTCTTGTGGTGGTCCACCAGGACAGAGATTCAGACCATTGAGATGCTTCAGAGATGCAGTGACAGTGCTCCAGTCATCTTGGCAGCGCAATTCAAATGCACCTGGAACGGTTGCTATCTCGATTTTGCGATCAAGTGCAAATGTGTTTAAAGTGAACTGTGCTTCCTTGACTTGTTCAACATGCACCACTTTTAAGCACAGAGGCTTTCCAGATGACGATATGCCAGCTTGTATAAAACAAATGCTGAGCAGTCCCTCTCGGCTCAATGTGCAGTGGTTCCACGCAATGCTCGGCAGGTGGGCGTTCGAGGGGTCCAAGCACACTTGTAGGCAGTCGGTCTTGGTGCATTTTGACCCTTCTGCATCAGTCGCCTCTTTCGCTTCAGTCTGGTCATAAGCTCCCACGACACTTCTTTTTGGAGATGTCGGACTTGAAGCTAGTTTACTGTACGCAGGATCAGATGAGACCTCGTTTGTTTCGTCCTTGGCCGCCGCTGAGCACGCTTCACGTACTTTCTCGTGCATGTCAGTTGCCTCAGCCGTTCTTTTTTTCTTTCTTGCCTTAGGTGGCGGCGGTGAGTGTCTGATCATGGGGGGCTTTCTTTTCCTTGGAGCTGTTGACGGTGGTGCGGAAGACGGAAAAAATGCAAGGAATGGCGTCGTCGGAAAGGATGAACTTTTTTGGAATGTCAAGTAGGATTTTCCCTTCTAGCTCCGCGAAGTATCGTCCTTTCACAATCATGTCGTTGGTGAAATGCTCTATGCAAACAAAATCTTTAGGGCCAAGCGGACGGTGCTTGCGAGGAGTTGCTTGAGCACACGCTTCCAGACGTGTGGGGTCGGATGGGACCTTGAACAAACTAACCTTTTCTTTGCAACTAGGGTGACCTGAGTTCCAGTTCTGGACGAAGCATCTCCGGCCCATTGTCACCACTTTCAAGCCGCGTCAAACCCGTGGTCAAACGCCGCACACGGCTTCTTCAATCTTCATTCCATATAGCGCACGGCGACTGGAGTTCCAAATGTTTCTGTCGCAATTACGGTGTAGTCGCAAATCGAAACGAAGCAAAAACGTGCAAAGCGACTCTTAGTCATGCAGGAGGCAGGCAGTAGTGCACAAGATGGCTTGTGCCGCCTCATGCTCCACACGCGCAGAGCTCCAGCGAGGTTGTCGCACTTGCAGAAAGACCACGGTGACCACGATGTACCGGGGTGTCATGCCAACGAGATACTTTTTTTTGTTTTCACACTGTTTCGCCGTTTGGCTGCCGGCGGCACTGTCGGCCGCGGGTACGGTGGCCGCGGAATGCTGCAGCCTTTCGGATGCCCATCGAACGAACACTATCTGATTCCTCGCGCCGCGCGTTTAACCCCGCCGTGTCCTCACCTAAAGAGTATCATTATCTTACACCGTGCTCTCAGTTGATTGTGGCAATCGCACGATTCTGATCAAGTGAAAATGTACATCACTTGCGACAGAAATCATAACTGAATGGGGACGTCATAAAAAAAAGTTCTTAGCTCTTGATTTTGGTTCTCTTCGGGAAGGCCAGCCGACTGACATATCGCAACTGAAAAGTCTAGGCCTTCTCAACCAATAACGACCACAACAGAGCGGTAGAGCGCGAACAGCCGTCACCGCCGGAGGGACAGCATATGGGCGTTCAGAGTCCTGCGAATCCTCCGGAGAAGTCACTCCCCACGAATATCCACCTACCGCACTCCGCACCCCTCTAGCCCCTCGGGGCGCCTGCCGGCCGCGGCCCGCCGCCGCCGCCGTGGGCAATGTTAGCCGTGGGCGACTCGGCACGAGCCTCACAAACCCACGAATCCGCTGCGAGCATCGAATGCGACGTCCTCACGTGTCATTTACGTCACCCTACCGAAGAAGACGTGGAGCGCCGTCCGCGAATTTCTCGGGGCACGGAAGCACTGTGAAGGCTGTCGCTAGCGGCGTTTTGGTTGCGTTTCGACTACGCTGAAGAAAATGCAACTGTAACGAACCAAAATGTGGTTTGCGTTCTTTCCCGAGGAGTTTTAAGAGACACGAGCTCTCATTTCGCTGCTAGACCCAGATACGTTGCGCACTCATTCGCCTCGGAGGGAGAGTGCATTTTCACGCCTTCGACGCGCGCGCCATCTGGACTCTTCAAAAGTTCCCATCGGAGATGAAATCCGAGGAGCGCTCCCTTTTAAGAGGAGAACCGCAATGCAATGACACATCCAGCCATTCAAAGTGTGCAAAATCTGTATTCACCCAGGCCGTTGTATTCTCAGGGAGCGTCCTGTATCCCCCTTGTAAAGTATCTGGTTTTATCGCAAGTAGCGCCATTTTGAGAGCGAGAGGTAGAGGAGGGATAAGGGCTAGGGGCGCTTTCCCCCTTGCTGGTGCGTAAGAAAGAGTGAAAGTCCCGGATGAGAGGCTTCGCCGGTGCTGGCTATATGTATTGCCCGAACTTTGTTCGCGCTTTCTTCTTTGTTTTAAACTCCCAAATTTAATTAGAGCCACGGGCTTGGATGGCGACAGTCCCCCCGTCATCGGGACACCATTGCTCGGTTATAGGGAGCAGCAATAACGACAAAAAGCGTCGAATACTGTACGAGGACCTATCTAGCTTGCACGGAATCCGGCAAGTGCGGCTGCAATGTCTTTAAGCTCCATCGCTTTCCAAATGACCCCGGTCTTGGCGGCAGTGGGTGGCGTCCGTGAAGCGAAAAGACTTTCCCCAACACCATCCTCTCGACAGTGCTCGGAACATTTTGTGAATGGAGAACGCACCGAACGCTGTGCTGCCGATGAACATGGGGTACGCTAGCAAGGTACGTGCAAGTCTTCTCCCAATAATTGCTATTTCAGCTCGTAATTTTTTGTAACTAAATTGATCTTAATATTGACATTTTGAAATCTTGACACTGTTTCAACTGTTTGAAATGGTGACACCATTTCAAACAGTTGGATGTAAGAGGAGGCGCATAAAGTGGGACTCTTCTGGAGGTCCGCCCAGTCGTGTCTGAAAGTAAGCCAGCTAGTCTGTGAGCTTGGGCCTCTATGGACCACTCCATTTAGCGCTCTCTGGGCGGCACCATTTTGTTCGACAGCAGCGCCCTCTCCATTCATCCGGGAAATTCAGCGGGTTCGACGCGGTAAAACGAGAGAGAGGGCACGCGCCTGGCTCCGCTATATTCCGTTTCACCTTACGTTGGACCGCGGCGAAAGGCTGGGGGCTGTGACGCGACCCAGACAAGTTGTTCCTACGCATCGCGAAGTAGTGCCTCAAAAACCTTGGGCCCCTTGGGCAGTCCGAAGCGGGGATATACTTTAGCCTTAGTTTAACATTTTTGTGTCGTGTACCATCGACACAAAAACAACTTTTGGATTCAAGAAGAGCTTTTAAACGTGATATTTAACACATAATTAGGTAGCATGTTCGGAGAAATAAATTGTTTGGTTGGCAACGCTGCCGTTGCGTTCGTTTCTTCATGCGTTTGGTTCAAGCTTGCTTTTCATTTTGTGACGTGTTTTAAAAAATATTTCTTCCAAAGACAAGATTTTTTTATTTAAAAGTTATTGTAAACTCTGTAAAACTCTGTTAACTGTTTATTGGAAGAAATCATTTTAACGTTACAGATACTTTTTGCTCTTGTTTAAGATGTCACCTGACAAATTGCTGTTGTTTGCGTAATGGCTGCCATGGCTGCGGTGTCGTCAAGCGTGTCTCCGCCAAAGGCGCCGGTACTTCCATCGCCAGCTCGCTTCCAGACGACATTTGCTAAAACCTCGTTTTTAAAAGAGGCGCGCCAAGTTGTGCTGAACGTTTACTACAAGCTCCGTTGTGAGTCTCCGAACGAGTCTTACAAAGTGATCGTCCGAAGAACGTCTGAGCTGACAAGAGTGGGCTACTCCACGATCTTCAGGTGGAAATAACTCGTTCAGTCGAGTCCTGATGGCACGCCGTTGGTATCTTCGCCCAAGCGAAAAGGAAAGAGGTCTGCACCGCCTACACCCAGTCTGCTAGATTCTTTCGACCTTGGAACGTTGCGGCTCATCGTGCACGATTTTTTTCGCCGCAGCGAGTGTCCGACGTTGTCAAAGGTAAGGGCACTTTTTAAAAACATACTTCACTAAAGCGAAAGAAACGCGTTGACACCTTCAACTACCTATGGTTTATTAGCCACAGTCACTAATATGTGCTAAATTACTTAAATCACATGAGCGCCACTCATCATAATTGCATTGGCCTGAGTTTTTCCAATGACATGAAGCAGACATAATGTTAAAGCTGCGCGTATTTGAGGACCCATTTGAACTTCTCAGTCGATAAAAATAAGCTGTTAGCGTTGTCATTACAACAAACACTTTTTATTTTCAACTGGAGCACTCCACAGCGCTACATAGCGAAACTGAACAAACATAGCTAAATTAGGCATATATGTACATTGGTATAGTAGCAGTTTTCATTTTTTCGCAGAAGCCGTGCAGAAAAATAATCGGCATTACAATAAATTGCTACAAATATAATCTAGTCAAAGTGATCGTATACAGCAATATTTCAAAACAAGTGTAAAAAAACAATATTTTCAACTTATATTTACCGGTCTTAGAGGTTGCTCAGCAGAATGACAAGTTCCCCAAGATCAGCCGCACAACGCTGTGGAGAGCTCTGGTGGATCTGGGATTCACTTTCGTCAAGCGCAACAGGGACTCGTTGTTGATGGAGCGCACAGACCTGGTGCTCTGGCGTGCCACCTACCTCCGGGCAATCAGGAAGCATCGCCTGCATGACAAGACCATCTACTACCTAGATGAGACCTGGGTCAACGCTGGCCACACAAGGTCTAAGGTGTGGAAGGACACTACCGTGAAGACACCAAGAGATGCATTCAACAAGGGCCTCACAGTTGGGCTGAAGAATCCTTCCGGCAAGGGAGAAAGACTTATTGTGGTCCATGCAGGAAGCAGCGAGGGCTTTGTTGACGGTGCTGCAGAAGTTTTTCGTGCAAAAACGGGCAGCGGCGACTACCATGAGGAGATGGACGGCGCACGTTTCGAGGAGTGTTTTACCGAGAAATTGTTGCCGAACTTGAAACCGAATAGTGTAATTTTCATGGACAATGCGTCTTACCATGCGGTCAGGCTGCACACTCTTCCAAGCTCTCGCACAAGAAAAGGAGCAATCCAGTAATGGCTCACCGACAGTGACATCGTCTGGGATCCAACATTTCTGAAAGCAGAACTTCTGGACCTTGTGGAGAGGGCTAGGTTGACAATGCCAGGTCTTCAGAAATACCGCATTAATGACATCGCTGAGCAGCATGGGCACACTGTACTGCGTTTGCCACCTTACCACTGCGAGCTCAACCCCATCGGGCTTGTCTGGAGCCAGGTGAAAGGCTCCATTGCAGGTGCAAACAAGACGTTCAAGCTGGCAGAAGTTGAGCTACTGACTCCAGGTGCTCTACAACAGGTGACGCCTGGCGACTGGAAGGCATACGCGAGACACGTCATTGATGTGGAAAACAAGATGTGGGAAGCCGACTGCTTCTCAGATACGGTTATCGACAGTGTCGTCATTCACCTAGGCAGCGATGACGACAAATCAAGCGATGAGGATATGGCCCACTCAAGCGATGCGGACATGGGCTGCGAATCTCTTTCGTGGTAAAAGACCCTGATTCCTACAATGCCATGGACGACCGTCGAAAAGCCGTTCCCCAAGAGACCCTTCCAGGCTCATATGCGTCTGCTACGCCACCCCAGGCTCATCTGCGTCTGCTACGTCACCCTGCGACTCCTGTCAGAGGGTAAGAGAGCTTGAACTTGCAACATTTAACTTAATTTATTATACTCTCAGGGCCCGAAGGCATTAGAGAGAGTGGAATTATACGTCAATATGAATTGAACAATGAAAAGAAAGCGCAAAAAAACAACAACACAAGTTATAGAATTGCTACGGAACATTATTCAGAATATCAGTGATGTCGGTTTTAAAATCCGCACCGTCATTAAGTGAGACTACGGATCCGGGAAGGCGATTCCAGTCGACGGAAGTCAGGGGTAGGAAGGATGCATAAAAGGTGGAGGTGATGCAGTAGGGGATTCCTACTTTTAGTAGATGATCGGTACGCGGCGATATGTATGATGGTTCTGAAAATAAGTGCTGGGTTAGAGTGATAAATCTTGTGAAATAAGCAGAAGCGAGCTATTTTTCTACAAAAGGAGAGGTTGGGCAAATATAGAGACGCTTTCATGGAGGTGACGCTGGCTGTACGGTGATAGTTAGAAAGTATGAAACGTGCGGAGCGATTTAGAATGGATTCAATGAATGATACCAGGGTGACGCCAAGTCCTGACCGAGTCTCGGTTTAGTGAGGTTGAGATTGTTGCTCAGTGTGCTCTAACATTAGCTCAATGTGCTTGTTTTGCAGCAGTGTGGGGGGTGCCCTCGTCGGTGCTTTTCCTCACGAGTCTGTCCTGGTCTGTTCTGCGTCTGCTACACCACCCTTCGACCACTGTCAGATGGTGAAAGTCCATGAACTTGCAAAATCGTTCCTGATCGAGTCTCGGTTTAGTAAGATTGAGATTGTTGCTCGGTGTGTGCTAACATTAGCTCAATGTGCTTGTTTTGCAGCAGTGTGGGGGGTGCCCTCGTCGGTGCTTTTCCTCACTAGTCCGTCCTGGTCTGTTCTGCGTCTGCTACACCACCCTTCGACACTGTCGGATGGTGCGAGAGCTTTAACTTCTTAGTAGTTCCTGACCGAGTCACGGTTTAGTGAGGTTGAGATTGTTGCTCAGTGTGTGCTAACATCAGCTCAATGTGCTTGTTCTGCAGCAGTGTGGGGGTGACCTCGTCGGTGCTTTTCCTCACGAGCCCGTCCTGTTCTCATCTGCGTCTGCTACACAACCCTTCGACCACTGTCAGATGTTGCGAAGGCTTGAACTTGCAAAATTGTTTCTGACAGAGGTTTAGTGAGATTGAGATTGTTGCTCAGTGTGTGCTAACGTTAACTTAATGTGCTTGTTTTGCAGCAGTGTCGTCATCTTGTATACACGAACTCAACTCTGCTACGTCACGCCGCGGTGGTGGTGCGTCGGGCGCACTTCCGGTCTGGGGCGGTGGGCAGAAGTCGTCGTGCGAGACATGCATTCCTGTGTCGTTTTGGGAGAAAGCAGACAAAAACCTAGCTTCTCGTCAAAATGCTGCGACGGGGGCTGTGCCAAGAGAGTCTGGGAAGGTTTGAAGCTCAGTTTTCATGTGTTTCTGCCCCCTCCGTTCATCCAAGAACGTGGATAGTAGCGGCGAATTGGCACTGTCGAACTACGATTGCTTGTGCGGGCAACACTTTATGGTCGCCAGATGTATTTGTTTTGTTCCAACATGAACGAGAGAAAACTGCCAAGTTGTCCGGACCACCCGCGGGTTTAGTGCGTCTTCAAATTCACACGACCGCCTAATCGTTCGAACCTTCGTCTGCTTTTTGTCGTCTGCTCGTTGAAACAAAAGCTGCCCGTAAACCAAACATTAACCCGGTAATTGCGATAAGAAAGTGCAGGCCTCAAAACACTTTTGAAGGTTGGTTGGGGTAAGTAGGCTCAGTGTAAACAGTAGATACAAGAAGTAGATGTTGATCATTGTTACCAGTGGCCATCACCGACTTGTAATGCTTGTAATGCGATTCTACTTGCGGTTTTCAGTAGGGTGCCTAGTTTTTAGTATCGACGTCCACTATCTCAGCTACGGTCCATGTTTTTGAAGCCCGAGTGACGTCGCGACTGAAAATAGCGAGCAGAATCCCATCGTGGGAGTCGGGCTTTAGCGCCCATTCTGCGGCGTCCACGTGAAATAAATTGCCGCACGTCACATTATTCATTTGCGGTGTAACGAGCCTTGTTGATTTTGCTGAAGCCGCTCAAGTAGTCAGACATTGTTAGGAGGACGTAGAATAAAAAAAATTTAACGCAAAAAAGAGCACGGGGACTCACACCGACGCCGACAACAACGCAATTCAAGGGTTTCTTTATGGGCGACGGCAAGCTTCTTGCCCACCGCTCATGCGCAGCGCCGGTGGTGTCCACTCCGGTTTGTCTGTAAACATGAGTTCGTGTATATATTCAGGCGGGGATTGGTGGCCGAGTGGGCTAGCGCACACCAGCTCGGAGCATGTGGAGCGATAGCTCGCGCTGCAGAACCCAGGATCCTGGGCTCAATCCCCACCCGTGGTCGTTTCGATCTGGATGAGCACCGTACCGGCGTGCAGTCGTGTATCACTACTGCGTGATGCACGTTAAAGACCCCAGGGTAGCGGTTGTACTGCACTGCCTAAATTTCTCATCTACGGCTGAGAGACTCGTCGACCGTTGAGGAGGACACAATTTTTTTTTATACATTGCATTATTATAATTAAAATATGGCAACCAACCAATTCCTAAACATGTAGGAGCCCTACGTTTCGAACCGACTCGGTTCTTCGTCAGGGGCGACTGTGGCCGTTGAGGAGCGACGTTTTTCGATCTTCTTTTTCTTTTCTCAGGGATGTGGCGCATTTCTCGATCTTCTTCTTTCATGAATATGGCGAAGCCCGTTCACATACACTGTTGGTAAAGCACCAAGGCACCTATTTATGTTGCCTGGCGTCGTTTGAATATGCCAGGACTCGACGAAAAGCCTATGTCGGTTGTTAGTCTCTGCGTCGATAATGCTGGTGTTGTCGAAGTCAATCCGGTGGTCTTTGACTTCGCAGTGCTCGGCGACTGCGCTGCGCTCGTGGTCGAGCTTGCGAACGTCGTTTTTGTGTTGGCGTATTCTTTCATTGAAATTCTTTGTCTCGCCGATGTAGGTGGCTGGACAATCTGCACAAGGGATCTTATAAACCACGCCCTGCGTTTTTTCTTTCGGAGGGCGATCTTTTGGACGGGGCATGAGTAATCCAAGCGTGGACATTGGCTTGTGGGCTACGCGGATTCCTTCTTTGGCTAGCACGCGTGCAAGCGCCTCGCTTGTTCCTCTGATGTAGGGTACGCAGATGCGCGAGGTTGGGCGTGGCTGCGTACAGGCTTGTGGTTGCTGTTGTCTTTGACCTCGAGCTTGATGACGGGCAACGCGTTGGATGAAGGTGCTCGTGTATCCATTCTTTTTCAGATCAGCACGGACGGTTTTTTCTTCCTTTCTTCTGTCATCTTCAGAGGAGCATATAGCCTTCGTCCTAGACAGCAGTGTCCTAACCACCGATGCTTTGTGGCAGGCTGGGTGATAGGAATCAAACTGGAGATAACGTCCAGTGTGCGTGGGTTTCCTGTAGACTGAAAACTTCAAATTTTCTTTTTCTCTTCTCACGAGCACGTCCAAAAAAGGCAATGAATTGTCTTTTTCAAGTTCCGCTGTAAATTGGATAGCCGGTTCGATGGAGTTGAGGTGTGAGAGGAATCTGTCCACTTCAGATCTTTGAAGGATGCAGAAGCAGTCGTCCACATACCGCACAAATATCTTGGGCGCAGTGGCGAATGACTGCAGGGCCTCTTCCTCAATGGCTTTCATGCACAGGTTAGCCGTGGTAACGGAGACAGATGCTCCCATGGCGGTTCCGCTGGCTTGTTTAAAATACTCTCCCTTGACGCTAAAGTAGGTGTTGCTGAGGCAGAACTCAAGGAGGCGGCACAGTTCCTCCACACTAAGGGCGGTCCTGTTGTGCAGGTCTTTGTCTTTTTCGAGAGCCTTCCTGGCAGCTGTAACTGCCAGGGGAACCGGCACACTTGTGAAAAGTGAGATGACGTCAAAAGAGACTAGGCTTTCCTCAGCGCTCACCTTCAATTTCGAGATGCGCTCCACGAAGTCGCTGGAGTTGCTGATATAAGTCGTCGTTTTTCCGACGAGAGGAGAGAGGGTGTGGTGAAGATAGTTCGACACGGCTCGAAGTGGTGAGGTTCTAAAGTCCACAATGGGCCGGAGAGCAAGGCTAGGCTTGTGGATCTTGGGAAGGCCGTAAAAACCAGGCGCAGATCCATTCCTACAAAGGAGGTGCAGGTGGAGGCTCCTCGAGTCTGGATGTTTCTTGAAAATTTCAGTTAGGATCTTGCTCAGCGTTGCCTGGATTCGCGGTGTCGGATCCTTTTTTAGTCTTTCATAAGCAGAGGTGTCAAGCAGGTCGTGTATCTTCCGGTCGTAGACATCCCGGTCGAGGACAACGG